GGTTTTGTTTATTTGTCTTCCTTCCACTAATGCAGCTCTATTGATGTTTCTAACAGTGGAAGCTACAGTGTAGGCAGGATGCAGGTCGTCTGGTCCTGATCAGAGCAATAATAATAATAAAGAAAAATGCTTATTTTTCCATTTTTTTCCATTTCTCCATTATTTCTCCATTATTTCTCCATTTTGATGTCCCTGTAAAGATGGGGTAGTAAGTATCAATGTTGTGAAGAGAACATTCTTGTAATCATAAGAGATATGATAAGATGGAATGATGGATAACCTCAAGGTACTCTCAATGAAGTCAAAAGGAAGGTCTGAACCACTCAGGTTCAGACAGGTTGTGTTGGTATCCAATGTTAATAATCATACTTATAAAACAATCCATACCAGCAAAGCACTTCTCTCCTAAAATGCCTCACCTCCTGCCTATTTCTAACAACTGCAACTGGTACCAGGATGCTTGCAACAATTGCTGGTATTTCAGAAAATAAAACTGGATGTCGACAAGGACAACAGTAAAGCTCAATTTAAATTTTTCAGTATTGGCAGTGAAATAATTGTTTTATTAGTTAACTGTTCTGAGCAATTCACTGAGTCTCTTTGTAAAAAAAAATCTAAATTATCAATGATTAATAAAACTCTTAAAATCTTGCTTAGAGTAACAGAGAAAGTGTTATCTATGGAAAACATTAATTAAAATACCAGCAATTTTGTGTATGTATTTAATTCTGAAATGATAAAACCCAATGATTTTCAGACAGCAGGATACTAAAAGGAAAACAATTTCTGTGACATTTTCAGGTATTTTTAATTTTTCTGTAGCCAAGACAATGAAAACTAAGATAATACAAAATTTTCTATCTAAACAAAAGTATTTCAGACAACCTAATTCTAATGATTACAATACCACAAAAACACAAACTTTGTGACATGTACTTATCTCTAGTTTTCTCCTCTATTAATTTTTGAAGTTGTTTAGCATTTTGAAATCAGTTACCTATTGTCTAACTATTAAAATACTCAGTTCAGACTTCAACTAATTTATAAATGTAGTATTTACTGTCACTAACTATTATAAATACAAATATTACATAAATACTCTATTAATTGGTTGACAGGATTCAGATTTGTTTTTAAAAGTAGTAATAAGTCCTGTCTCTGTATTTTAGAGACCCTGAACCACAGCAGAGTAACATCTCAAAACTTGCCAGTGACTTGTAAAATTTTTCACATTCACTTTATTATAAAATATTTTAATGATACTCACGTCTCAGAGACGAACATGTTTAAAGTGGCCTTTCATCATGCTAGCTTTAAATTCAGCCTGTAGTTAGAGATTTTTCCTCTGCTCAGATGCAGGATGGTTCTGTCCCCAGAAAAGGCTTTCCGAAATAATTTTATTATTCAATGCCCCTGTATACCATGCCTTATACTTACAAGGGGGTAGCCTGGGTAGCCTGCACCTCTGATAACCTAGGCCCTTTTAGAAGTACTGGGTCTTGAGAATAAGCACTCAGATAACATACAGAGCAGGAGAGAAAGCAGCAGGAAAATTACTGGGGAGTAAGAGTTGTGGAGTAAATGTTTTGTATGTGACCCATGATTACAAACTGCTAAAGTGAAGGGGATTTTCATCTCTTTATTTTTAAGAAACTGACATTCCGCATTTAACAAAGAAATGTGAGACCTTGAATTGTTACCATTTATTTTCCATATGTACAATTACTTTTGCACAGCTCTGTAACATCCACTTGTCTAATGCTGTACTGTTTTTGTTTTGTTTTGTTTTTGTATTTGTTTTTGTCAAAAATGCCAGTTCTTCTAAATGTATATATAGCTCCAGTTTCTGCTTCTGTCTTTACGTATCTAAGTCCCTGTATCACAAGCAGTTCCAGACACTTCTCTCTCTGATTACAACTAGGGCCTTTCACACAGTCACTCATGCTGTATGACTGCTACGGGCTGAATCAAACCATTCTTTTCAAGTTAGAAAAGCTTAGAATGTCAAATTTCTAAAATATATCTTCCTCAAAAGTGTCCTAATAAGTTTTGCACATTAGTATTATCACCACATGTATTTACATGTTAATTATTCAGACTCATATGAGCTAAGTTCATCTTTCTTCCTGATCTTATCATATGCTGCACTTTCTACAAAATAGGAGAAAAGTTCTGTCTGAGAGCACATTTAATTGCCCACTTATGTCTAAAAGACTAGATATGACCGAATGTATTGCTTTCTGACAGGAGATTAACTCCTTCAAAGAGGGAAGACGGAGCTTCTCCTATATCACCATCTAGTGGGGAGGAAATATGAAGCACTGGAGCTATGGCTGTGGACAGGCGGTAATAGTAGTTGCTTTCTGTCGATTCTGCTCTTGAGGACAGCGCCTGGAAATACACTTGTTACTTTCCACAGATGCACACATAATGCTTCCAAACTTCATTGGTTTGGAAGAAGATCCTTAACTGAATACCCTAAGTGATGGATTTCACATTACCTGCTTTATCCTGCCAGATGTTCTCCCAGAAGACTGAATGTTAGACCAGAGATATTTAAAAAAAAAAAAAAAAAAGCCCAACAGCTCTGGATACATTGCCTGTCTTAACCTTTTACCATTTCAGACAGAAATGATCAGGATATTTTCAAATGCTGTAAATTCCATTCTTGTAGGTTAAAAATTAAACTATTGCCTTGCTGTGATGGGGAGTGAACATTCTCTACAAATGATATTTTCTTGTAACTGAACAAGCCACAAAACTGGCATGATTATTTTATGGAAACAGAACAACTGGACATAATTTGTTGAACCCTTGAAATAAGGACAAGAGAAAAACATTACAGCAAAACATATCTTATGGTAAAAATTCACAGAATAAAGGAAGACATAACATTTTCTCTTACTGCATCTATAAAGCAATAATCCTATCAAAGCAGTACAGGAAAAATGGGTTGCAGGACAAATTTTACCTCAAATAGTGCTGAAATGTAAAAGATCTATTGGTATTTTCACAGACATCAAAGGGGCATTGTAAATCAGACATTTTATTGTGGCTAGGATATTTTAGGGTATTTTCCAAGCCAGAATTAAACTACTAAACAGTGTAATTTCTCCCTCAACATGTCATGATTAAGAGTTCTTCTGACCTAGCTATGTATTTATATACCTAAATAAATTTACTGCAAATATAAACTTAATACTGAGTTTCTTGACATGAAAACTAGATAGAAACTTACAGATGCTATGAGGGACATTCATTTTAAGGCAAAAAAGGCCAGAGAGCCTGAAATATCAACAAACAGAAGGTCAAGGTGCCTAGAGTAAGGAAAAGTTATGGCTGTTCTGAAAAGATGAAGACTGAAGCCAAAGAAGAAGGAAGAAAAATAAGCTGTGGATTGTTACAATAAATAAATAAATAAATAAAAATCATAACCATGACTGAAACCGTAGTGGGAGAGAAAAAAGCTGCTCTCTGTAGTCTAACAAGAAAAATTGGGAGTGCAACCCAATCTACCACAACTTCACAACTTCAGAAGTTCCCACTGCTCCCAACACTTCATATGAAAAGGAAAAGCTCTACATTTGACTGAAGAGAAGCAAACAACTAAACTCACAGAGTGAATACAATACCCTTGTTTACCCTTTAAAAAAAAAAAAAAAGTACAAGTTCCCTAAGCAAAAGCAGACATTTCTCTTATGCATTGTATTAATCAAAATCTTGCAATTTATTGTTGTTATTTTGCAAAATGGTTTCCTTCTCTTTTTACTTTTAAAGGTTGTGGTTGCAGTTGTGTACCATGTGTGCTTTCTAGATTACAAAACTTGACCTAATGTTGAAATATAAACCAAATGTGAAAAACACTTTTCAGACAAGAAGTTATAAAGCTGTAATAACTTTAAATATTCTAATGCTCTTTTGTTATAGGAAATGTGATACTAGTATCCACTAATTGTCAGACAGCAATACAAGTAACTCACCTGCCTTGGCCTTAAGCACCCTGTGAGTTGGCACACGTGCATCCATACATACAACTTAGGAGGCTTCTGGAAAAGCGTCTCCTGCACTAGTGTAGTCCTCTAGTCTTCACACTCCAGTGTGTCCTGCACTGGAGTTCTGGTAGAAGAACAGCTGCATTTCATGTCTCCTACACTAAAGAAATTCTTTGCTTTCTCTATTGCAGGAGACATGAACTTGCAGAAATTCTACCAGAACTCTTTCCACATGTTCACTGCTACCAGCACATCCCTAATAATCTTATTAAACTGCTGTAAAAGCAACAATTTTCTTTTGCATTTAGTTCAAGCCATATTACTCCATTTCTTACTTTAAAAAGGTAAATGGTTCTTACCATATGGTTGAGTATGGTTCAGAACAATATCATGAGAGAATCAGAGAGTGAAAGATAATGGAAAAAAAGGGTGGTCCAAAGAAAGATCCTGATCCAGCAAAGATATAAGAGAAGGAAAATAACAGGAGGAAAACATTTGCAGCCAAAGAACATTTGCAGAGGGGCAGAGAGAATACCAGAGAGAGACAGTGCTCTGAGTCCAAGAGGAGACTCTGAGGAAGGGAAATGGGGTTTCTAGTGTTCTATATAGCCAAGAGACTGAAGAGACTGAGACCATAAAATAAGTCAATAGGTTTTTCATAAGCTTTATTTAGTATAACTGAAGCTTTTTGAGGGATTGAATTGCCACTTGAAGGGAAGCAGGAATAGAGAAATGAAGCAATAGTTGAAGAAATTTGATCTAGAAGACCCCTCACAGCATATTATTTTAAAATATAAGTACTTTTGGTACGATTTTATTTAATTCCTTAGAAATTGCAATCAGGAAAAGACCAAATCTGTATCCATCTCACCATAGACACTTAAATGCTTAAAATGAGAACTGTAGGGTAGGACCCCAGGTCTCAGGTTAGGTCATCTCCTTATCCCCAGTTACAGCTTAAGTTAAGAGAAAAAAAAAATGTTGTTTCTGGAATGTGATTTAACCTACCTGAGAGGAGCAACCGCTCTCCCTTGACCAAGGCATGTCTTCCAGAGAGGGGGGGATCGCTGACCTCGGTGGCAGGTAGGCGACAGGCAGGGTCTATAGAAGTTTACATTGCAAAACATAATTAAAAAAAAAAAAAAAAGAAAAGAAAGAAAGCCGTTTACCCAATCAATATTTAAGCATTGTCACTTATCTCCACAACACTTCATAGCAACTCACAACAGGTAACTTTACCTGGTGGCATCTAAATCCATCGGGGGAGCCAGTAGCCGTTTCCACCGTTTGGCACCGTCCATACGAGAGGGCTTTGACCACCCTGACCACCCTCTCCCAAATGTTTAAGTGCGGCGGGGCTCGAGGCGGGACCCGAGCCATTTATCTGAAAAAAATAACCTTTTACACATAAGGGTCGGGGTTTGGCGGAAAAGGAGTTAAAAAGCCCAGAGCCGGCGCTGAGGAACCCAGCGGACTGCTCCATTACCCGGCGAGGGGGGAGCCTGCTTCCACATTGTTAATTACTCGCTCTAAAATTCGTGACAAAATTTCAAAGGAAGAGGGATAAACAGTGTCTGTAAGGCACGAGGAGGGGATCTGTTAACAGAAAGAGGTGAAGCTGAGGTAAAATCCTGAGGGCAGGTCTCTCCTCAGTTCCACTCGGCGGCCGGGCCGTGTCGCAGCCTGGTCTGGGGGAGGAGGCGCGGCGGCACCCGGTAGCAAATTTGAGGCTGGCAGGGCGTTGTGGGGGCGTTTAGAGCCGCTTTGAATTCCTTCTCCAGCATCACCAGAGTTTCCCTCCTCACGGGCTGCTTCTGACAGTCCCCGGTTACCTGCGTGGGACTGACAAGAGAGGAGAAACGGGCGGGCGTGAGAGCGGTGGTGGCAGTGGGGCTGGGAGTGACAAAAGGGCGGGCAGCGTCCGCCCTGGGGCAGCCCGGGGTGCTGCTGCTCAGCCAGGAGTCTGGTGGCTTTCTGTAGTACCGACAGTATTGTAACCTGCCCTTCCGAGCCAAAAGCTGCTTAGAAGAGGTGTGACAAAGGACGGGTCCCTCAGCAAGTGTCCGGGCAGCGGGAGCTGGGACCTTCCCGGGGCGCGCTGAGGCACCCGGTGCCTCCAGACTTCTGGGCAGTGGGGCTGGGACGCTTGGTTGTGGTGGCTGTGGTCCCGTGGATCTGCTTAAAACGGAAAAATACATACGCAGAAACGTTGCACAGAAATGTTTTTTTGTTTGTTTTTTGCTATTAAATGATTATCCTGTGGAGTCTTGATAAGAACTCCTCAAGAAAGCAAGGAACTGTGTCCTTTGATCTGTGCTTAGTTAGAAAGAAATGGAAGTCACTTTAAATGGTCATGAAGTAGCTGGTGTAAGAGCAACTTATTAGTGATAAACATGAGAGCTTTCCATCATACTGAAAATATTTCTGTAGAGTCATAAGCATGTGCAGCGCTTCCCAGGCAACTATAAAATGCCAAGCCCACTTCCTCTGAGAAACTCTGAAACTTAAAAGCGAATCAAAACCACACAGAATAAACAAATTAAGAGCCTAAAATGAGGTGAACGGGAAGGGTATAATCTTTGGGAAGCCTCTCCCCCTCTCTTTTGGTTTATATTTTCTTGTGTATAGTTAATAAGAACATTTCTTGTCTGCCCAATTTTTCGAACCAGCTCAGAGTATAAGCAGTAATACTGTCATAACACAACTATATGCAGAGTCTCCACATGCAACAGGGAAGAGATTGAACTATATTATACCCTTGGTGGTGGTCCTTCTGGGGCACAACAGTGAAACAGCACAAGGAAGAATGCGTTAGTGGTTGTTCCTGCTCTGTTTGTTTTTATGGATAAATAAGGACTTCAATCCACTAAACTAGCAATCCAGAACCTTTCTCGAGCTCTAAATCAACACACAACCAAAAATAGCATTTAATTAAGAAAAAGGCTGCAGTATGTTTTTGCAGTCAAAGGAAAGTGTGTATACAAGAGGAAACCTATTAGATTAATTGTACTGTAACTTTTTCCTTGGCACATACACAGTTGCAAGAACTTGGCCTTTAAATCTTTGCCAATGCGAAGAAAACATTCCCAAGCCAAGAACTAGCTATTATTCTACAGCTACCTAGGCATGTAGTTTTATTTCTATTACCAGATTATTACTGTTCTATAATTTCCCTGAAATTACATATTAAATTTTCTATTTCAGGCATATTGGCATCAGTATATAGCATTTTGAAAGAAATTTTGGGGTACTGGACAAGTTATATCTATTATATGTGAAGAGCCCTATCCATAAAGAAGTTTCAAACAGACATCTCTGAACTGCTTTTAGAAGAGGGCAAAAGTGGTAGAGGCCTGGTAAGAAAAAACTTCATACATTTTTTTTTATTATTATTTTGGGGAGGGAAGATTTTTAAAGGAGGACTGAAAAAGAGAAAAAATATGTAAGTAACAGCTAAAAATAAAGTGATAGATCTTGAATGTTCAAGAGTTTTGCAGTTTTATAAAAAGTTCACAATGCTGTGGAAGGTCATCCAAGTGTTATGTTACACAATATTCCCAATAATGAAAAAAAAAAAACTTAGAGAAGGGCCATAAGATACTTACATGACAATCCTTTCCTCACAGGGCATATTATATTTTTGGGTTAGTCACCAACGATGCAGGAATATTAAGCATTTTTCTCTTTTGAAATTCTACATGGTATAAATGAGAAGATTTAGGAAAACGAGGTGAGCAGAAGAATATCACAGGACTAACTGTAAATAAAATAAAACCTGATGTTCTCCATTCAAAATCCAAATGGAGTAGAAAAAGCTGCATTCACCTTTATTAATCTAGATTCTAAAACAAACAAAAACCCTCCAGACTTCTATACTTCTATTAGTATTTGTTTAGATGATAATTTTTTCATTAAACTGCTGTCTTAAAGAAAACTCAGATGAGGTTAGCATCAAAATACATAGCCTGTATATCCTGACTCAACATTGCCCAAGGCTGGACAGTCAACATTAGTACTCCTGAAGTTTCTGAAGGAACATCCAGTTTTTCATAGTGTAAGTAATATGCAAAGTTCTTCACAACTATAAACACAGAACAACATTTACATTTTAAATCAAAAAATAAATGAAACGTTTACACTGTGTAGTCTAAGTGAGGATTCTTGAACTATGTGTGAAAAAAATTAAAATGGAAAGATCATACTTTCAAGTGTAATCTGGTCTACGCATATATAACAATCTTTCTGAACCTATTTTCTTTTAAGTACATTTTATGCTGTACTATACTTTAAATATGAGTTTTATAACGTGAGTTTTACAATTAATCTCTTTACTGACGTGTTATCCCTTATGTAACAGACTTCTTTATACAAACATTATTCAAACACAAATACATTTTCTGTATAAATTCTGCAGGGCAAAATAGAATTAAAATGGCATGCTCACCAAAACAAATTATACATTCACCTTCTACTCAAAGACGCATTCTTCTTTGGGGCGTTTAACTAGTCTGTAAACACAATTACCAGAAATAATAAAACTGGTAAGATCATAGCTTACCTTTTTAAGACGGTAGATTCTTTAAGAAGAACAATTAGGGGTTCAGATTTTGAATTATTTTTCCCAATGAGAAAAGTCAAGATAGTAAAAGAAGGCAAATGAGGGCTTTTATATGCTGCCTTTATGCTTGGGAGCAAGAAGGAAACCGCTCCAATACATTAGGGAAAACACAGTCTAATGGCAGAGAAAAGATAAACATTGCCCAAGGAAATGCAGGAGAAACAAACACTTTGACCAGAAGAGAGTGATCACTAGGGTAGCCTGGAGTAAGACTGACTTAACTGTGGAAATGTAGAGAAATAGAAATGGAACCACAGAAAGTACAAAAGTAATGAGTAAATTCAGGGGAATATCTAGTGGATAGAAGTATAAAAAGTGTTTTATGTGGCATGTGTATATATTTTTTTGTCAGGAAAACATATTTTGAATGTTGCCAGGTTATTATAATTTATGGATCCATTCAGATGGCTGATCCATTCGCTGTTTAAAATTGGAAATATATTACATGTTTTGACTAGTGGATTGTCTCTGTCAGAAAAACCATGTGATAGTATCAAATACGCACTAGATGACCCTGCTGAGGGGTTGGACTAGATGATCTCTGGTGGTCCCTTCCAACCTCAGCTGTTCTGTGATTCTATGATTTGTATACATTCTATTTACAAAGATTGTTCATATGTGCCTTTCCTCTGAAACCAAGGGAAAGTTTCAATCATGAAGCCTCAAGTCCTTTTTGGTTGATAGTCACCTTAAATCTCTCTAGCTCCATTTTACTTAGAGCTATGAAAGTGCTTGTTCCAGCCTGCGTCTGGGGTTCTGTGTCTTCTCTGCATCTGTTTCTATGGCATTTTACATCTTTTTTCTCACACATGCCTATCCTCAAAATAATACCCAACAAAACATGTGCCGCCCACATGTGCCTTTGTTTTGGGTGGTGACATGCACCCATATTCTGGTGGAGACTGTTCTTATTCAACAAAGTTTAACTGCTTCTTGCAGTGATTTTAAAGAGCACTGCTCATGACCACTAGCAGCAATATATTTTATCTGGCACCAATACTATGGATAACAGGCTACCTTAATGCATTGAAATCTCCACAGAGAGCAGATAAGGAAAAGCACAGGTATACATAGTACAGCCTCTGCAGGACAGTCACTGTGTCTTCTTTTGCATGAGTACAATACTTACACAGGATTGCAATCTTTATGAAGAATACAGCAGATAAAGTGGGCGAATCCACAGAATGTTTAGTAGTAACTTAAAAATATAAATTAACACAAATTAACAATTCTACAATACTAGTACTCTTTATTATAGTCAAGATTTGTAAACAATTTCCTGTTATCTGTAACCTCTGAGAAAGCTGCATGCTTATCATTTTGTTTTTCCAAATATTTTTCTCTTAGGACAAGATTTTCTATGCTGCTCTTCTCTACGAGGATGAAAGTATGAATTATGTTTAGGGAACCTAAGGGAAGTCATGTAGATATTTTAAAACAGACAGAGAACAAATGTAAAAATGTAAACATTGAAAAACTAGAATTTAAATAGATCATGTTGCAGAAAAGGGCATTTTTCATAAATAGATTGCTTTGACTTGAATTTTAAGTTATGTCTACCCATGTTAACCATTCCTAAAAGGTATATTCTTTCTCTTGGTCTTTTTTTTTTTTTTTTTTTCTACAGCAGAGTTGCATCACCTAGGCAGATATATCTATCAGTATGTAATTGCATTGTAAAAGCTTAGGCAGCTTCTCCAAGTCAACAATTCAGTTTTCTGGATGACCTATTGTCTCCATCAAAAGTTAAAAAAAAATTAAAAAAAAAGTCTTTGTGCCTTTGGTGTTGGAAGTCTGTGAGAAATTAAATCTGTGACAACTTAATACTGCTTTCTGGCCTGCTAATGAAGCACCCACACGTCTTCTGAAGTGCTGACAAAGCAGATGGACTGATGTTAGTCCCTGTGGCCACACTGGGAATCAAGTTGCCAATTGTGTCCAGTTACAAAATTGAATCATCCTTTTTCTTTTTCTCCCCTTTTTGGAGAAAAGAATGTGTAAGAGGATATTCATCATCTGGAAACTACCTAGTGATGTTGTATTTGTCCTTTTTCCTTTTCCATATTTAGCTTAAAAACAGTGAATTAATTTTACTATTTTTTAGCAAGCACATGCCTTCAGATGAACCAGTATATAACTTGATGGCCAAATTCCAATAAACTTTTTTTTTTGTGATGTTTTGTGGTTAAAACATTAGATGCTGAATATATAATGACTTCAATAAAGAATTAATTGGAAATACAAAGATGATTTATCTCTAGGTGGGGCAGCATGGTTCTCTGTTACTTGCCTTCATTTTGATTATCATTTTGAGGACACAGCATTAGGTGTGTCTCTAAAATGTTATGTAAATGAAACTGCCACAAAACATTCAGAGACACTGGAAATAATTTGTCTAAAAACTGTGTATTAGTGTTCAGACAGACCTTGGCACAGACTAAAAGCATGCCGGCATGCATTCTCCCGAACAATTCCTGGGCACAGTTTGGGAGTTAGTGACACTGAGTCAGGAACCATTCCCAATGGGCAGTAGATGCATGTGTCTATCCTGTTGTAATGAATTAAGGAGTTTAGTAATGTAGGCATGAAACATTATGTGGCTATTAGCCTCAATGCCAGACAACATTCCCAGGCATACATATAACCTTTTAGTTTATAGGTAGCCGATGAGTATGTTGGCTGAGATGCACTCAGTATCTGAGGAATGGAAAAGTTCTGCTTTCTTTTAAAGGCCTTTTTAGAGGCCTAAGCCCAAGAAGCTCTTTTAACATACATGATTTAGATAATCATCTGTCTGTCTTAAATCTTACTTTTACTGGCAAGTTCATTAAAAAGGGAGTGGCAAGGCATTTTATGCATGATAAGACGTTCTCATGTGTCTTTAATCTATACAAGAGTGGCTGTTGGCTTGTGCTGAATTGTCCTTTAGGCCAATTTTTAACTTTTGTCCTTTGCCAGAAGATGAATGTCCACGTTGACTTGGTAGCCCATGACAGCAGTATTGATTTACCTTTACACCTTAAAAAGTGAAAAAAACAACAACAAAAATAATGTTTTTATCCTTGTCTCTCAAAATAATCCATGTTAGCCTTCACAGCTCCTATGAAATTGCACAGAATTTGTTATATAACTGACACCCAGTTATGTCTCTATTATAAAACATTGCATTGAGTTGCTTTCCCAGTGCATGTCCAAAAAGAGACTTTTGAGAGAATAAAGTTATGAGGTCCAGGGTTTTGGTTCTGTTTACTTTTTTAAGAGAGAAAAATAAAAGAAAAAAGAATTTGTAGGAATCAGTACCTGCTTCCTTTCTGAAGTTCATCTATGGTGAACTGTATCCACAGAAATGTCTCTCAGGAGCCTCTTCAGGTTTCGGATTTTTTTCTAAGACAATGTATGATAACTGATCATCCTTACAAAAATAACTGTTACTTGTTCTGTTCTAGTGGCCCTTATACAACAATACCAGGCAAGGCGACAAGGCTACTTGTGCAGAAGAAGAATCTGTCCGACTTCTTTTGCTGTTACATAGTACATTTTACTATTATATTTTATAGTCTAAAACACCCCTTTCACATTATCTGTATTTTAACTTTATTCAAAATCCCTAGTGCTTTGAATAATCAGGAACTGACTGTAACATTCAAATGAAAATACTTGGGTTAAATCTATCGTTTTCTTTCACAGAAAACTTTTTTACTAGTATACATTTCAGAAGATGTATCTGCCAAATAATCCATATCCTGTCCTCGTACAAATGGTAGCACGTTCTTGACACCATTGAGATGATGCAAGTGTGTAATTTAGAAGAAATTGAAAAATTAAATAGTATTATTTCATGTTGTGAAATTCATGTTGGAAATTTATGCTAAATACTTAGAATAAGGGGGAAAATGTTACCATCATTTGGCTTACCAAAAAGGGAAAAAAAAATAGTCACCATCAAATTGTAAACTTGCAACGTGTAATTGTACAGATATTTTACACCTCAATATGCAGGCTTCCTTGGCTCTTTATTTTACCTTTACCACTTAAGACTTAAGTCCTGATCTGACATTCAGGCTGCTTACTTACTTACAATGAATATTCCCCTGAGAATTAATTATGTGGTGCTATTATTTGCCACTGTGATCTAAAGTTAATGCAAAGAATGTAACTTTATATTACTTGTCATACAGCATTTATCATTACATTCATTCTACTCACTTCTGTAGTCGAGTCTTAACACCAAATTCCCAATTATTTCAATACTTAAATTTAAGGTGATATCTAACAATTACATTACTACATAGTGATTTCCCACCATTGTGTAGGAAACTTTGACCACTAGAAAAATACACAAACATAGAATTGGAGAATGGTTTGGGTTGAAATTGAAAGGGACCTTGAAAGATCACCCAGTTCCAACCCCCTGCCATGGGCAGGGACACCTCCCACCAGACCAGGTTGCCCAAAGTCCCATCCAGCTTGCCCTTGAGCACTTACAGGGAGGGGGCATCCACATTTTTGATTTTACTTACACATCACATTTAGTTAAAAATTCTGTCCTGAAATGCATACAAACTATCAATTAATAAGAGGTGAATGTAACGATGTCTGTGCATCCCATTAATTAATTAAAATGACATGCGACTGTATGTTAAACCAGCCATTAAATAAACCAAAAGTGGAAGAGTACAGTACATTTTTCATGCATTCTAGAGAAAACATCTAATGGCAGCAAGCAACCTCTAAGAAAACATTGGTGCTAGGTGTGTTTTTACTAGTATTTTACATACTGTCTACAATTTATGGAGCTGAATAACAACATGTTGCTGTCAGGGAGGTTAACATCAGAATGCAGAGGGCAGGAAGGACTCTTCACTATTTTCAACAGAACACACATGCATTCTGTCTTTGCAAGTGGAAAGCTTTTTGTCTCAGTACACAGTCATAAACAGCAGCAAGAGTGATACCTACAACTAACATATTTTGGTGAAAATGGTTTGAGAAACATGTTTTGAAAAGAGTATTGTATGCATGAAGATCTTTAATTCCTGACTTTTAAAGTTACATTAAGAATACCGAATTATTTGTTCTCTTTGAAGGACAAGTAATGAGTCTCAGAATAACTGACTGTGCAAAATACTTTAGATTTATGAGAGCCCAGTCATTTCTCTTAAGCAAAAGACATGTTCTCCCTTGACTTCAAAGGCAGCAGGATTAGGTTCTAAAACTTCACCCTGAAATTTGCAGCTCATTTTCACGGCTCTATAGGTGTGGATTTATCAGGAGAATTCAGAGAGCTTTGCCCTCCTCCACACTGCTACCAGCTTTGTTTAGTGCAGTGTTCACTCCTTAGTGTGCCACAGTCATGGTTGTATGACTGCATAGCTCCTCCCATACAGATTAGGACTACCTCCACCCCATGACTAAGGCCTGGAGCAGAAATGAGGTTTAAAGTATCTTTTAAAATGTTTTCTGATAGTATTCTGAAATGCTTGTTGTTACCCCATTTCTTGGCCATTTCACATATAATGGGATACACCCATATGTACTAAAATATTTGTAGAAACACACGTGACCTTTCATTCTGCAATAAATTGTTGTTGAGAAGACAATTCGAAGACAAAAGTAATACGGGGAACCACTTGTCTGAACCCAGTCAAAGAATTTGACCTTTCATTTTTAGAAGTGAATTACAGTAATATCTAATGGAATAAAACCTCCTTAATTTGATTTCCCTTAAGGAAGAAAATCCTTGTTTGCTTCTAAGTGTTACAGTAACACTTTCTAAAACAATTATTAATGAGTTATTTTCTTGTGCAGGTAATAGTAATGCCATAGTAATCAAACAAAATAACCATTTCTACAAATTCCTTTAGTTAAAAAGGGTTATAAAAGCATAAAATGGGCTGGTGAGATTCTCACTGGAGAATTCTTACTGAAACAGAAGAATCAAATACCTGTTATGTCTTACACTGATGTTTGGACTGGCTAAGCCATATCTGATATGGAAGACCCTGGCATATAAAAAAAAAAAAAAATGTGGTATTTACATTTTATTTATACAGTGAATCACCAACTAAAAAAAAATAATAATATAAATACTCCAACAACACAAATTATTAACAATAAGTTAGAAGCAGATTAAAGTAGTATTCCTGGGCCAGCTTGTCATTTTAGAATCACATTTTCCTTTGAATTCACAGGTGTGTATGCCCACATACATACATGTATGGGAACTCTAAATAGGTAGCTTATTCAACTTTAGTTTATTACAAAAATACATACATTTTCTCCCTTGACTAACAGAATTGAACTCTATTAAAATAAGCACAAAGAACTATGAACATGGTTTATCAACTACACCAGTAATTTCCCTTTATTTCAAATGGACAATCTGAAAATGCATAAACAATTGTAGGATTGGGACCTTTTATATTAACTTGGAACACAGGTATGTAATACATTTCTTCCAGAGCCTGGTTTACTCTGTCTCCATTAAACTTACATGAGTGCACACCCATTAGATAGAAGGACTGAATTACCGTATTCTCCAGTGCCATCTTCATTTCTGTACTTTCAAATAAACACACTTGTAAAACAAACTTTGATTCATCCAACATTAGGAATTTGATAGTTTAAGCTTAAGAGATGCGTTTTAACTCTGCTTTAAAGACAGAGCATTGGTTCAGGAAATCCTAAGACCTGGATTCAAGTGCAAGACCTGGATTCAAGATTCAAGTGCATTTGTGTACGGTATTATCTCTTTGTGCAAATCATATCCATCCAGAACTGAAAGGGTGTGTTTATATGCCACAGGATATTTACAGCTAGCTAGCTGTGTCCAACTGTATGGTGAATCCTGAAGTCCGCAGATGAGCCAGGCTTCCTCTAAATGTGATTTTTGTCCCAGTATCAAGGAGCAAAACAACAGAAGTGAGCTGTGAGAAGACACAGTTAATTCATTAGGCGTAGCAGCTTCCTTGCTATGTTTTATTCACGGTTTTACCTGTACAGAGGAAAAAACGTAAACCCTTTCAGACTAGGATTCTCTTTCTCCAAACAGTCCAGCACAGCCCAGGATTAAAATATTTCCAGTAAACCTGCTGTCGGGGCACGGGGGGAGAAAGGGAGCATCCCCCTCCAGCGGTGAGGCTCAACACCTCAACACCTGCATTTTTTCCCCCGTGCTCGTCCAGAAAAAAAAAAAAAAAAAAAAAAAAAAAAGAAAAAAAAGAAGAAGAAGAAAAAAAAAAACTGCTGTACGTCCAGCTGCAGATCCCTCGCCCCGGCACCGGGAGTTGCTGCTCCTGCGGCTCGGCCTCGGAGAGCCCCCGGAGAAGGACGCGGAGGGCGGCGGCGGCCCCGAGGAGCGCCCCTGCCGGCCTGCAGCCCTCAGGGGCCGGCGGAAACAGACCCCGGGCGCCTCCGCTTCCCAACGGCCGCCGGCCCAGCAGCGGCAGGGGAAGAAAAAAAAAAAAAGAAGAAGAAGAAAAAAAAAAAAAAAGAGAAAAAAATAAAAAAGTAAAAAATAAAAAAAAAAGGGGGGAGAAGCTCTCCGGCGGGTGGGGACGGGGGGAGGCAGCGGGGCGGCGGCGGCTCGGCCGGGCGTGCGGCGGCGCTGTGAGGGGAGCGGCGCGCTGCCGGCGCTCTGTCGTCGCGCTATCGCCGGGGCTATCGCGGAGTCGCGGCGTCGGCGGCGCCGTCGGAGCGAGCGAGCGAGCGGCCGAGGAGGAGAAGAAGGAGAAGGAGGAGGAGGAGGAGGAGGTGGAGGAGGAGGAGGAGGAGGAGGCGGCGGAGGGAAGGGGGAGGCTGTTGGCGCCTGGCGCCGGTGGAGGGAGTCATTCCTGCCGCTGCACTTCCGGTCGGCATTTTGTTCTGAGAGGGAGCGAGAGCGACGCACGGGAGCCTTCCTCCCCCCCCCCTCCTCCTCCTCCTCCTCCCCCCGCCCGGTACCGACTCGCCGTGCCCCGGCCGCCCCCCCCCCCTCCTCCTCCTCCTCCTCCTCCTCCTCCTCCTCCTCCTCCCCCCTCCCTGCTCTTCGCTCCCCCGCCCGCCTCCCGCAGTCGCGCACCGAGGGAGCGGCGGCGGCGGCGGCGGCCCCCGGCAGCGCTGCCCCCCCCCCCCCCCCGCCTCCCTCCCTCCCTCTCCCTCTCCCTCCCTCCCTTCTCCCGGCCGCCCCCCCACGGCCCCGGGCGCCTCTCGGAACCGGTTCGGCCCGGCCCGTGCCCATGTTGTGAGGCGGCCGCAGGGGGACGGGATCCGCGCCGGCCGCTTTACCCCCCCCCCCCGGCTCTACATGTTCGCTGCACCGAGGAGGAGACGGAAGAGGAGCCAGCCCCCCTCCCGGCCCGGATTATTGTTGTTATATTATCTCCCCTCCTCCTCCTCCTCCTCCTGCTCCGCGGCGGCGGCCCAGCAGCGGCGGCTCCTCTGAGGAGGGAGGGGGGCGGATTGCTCGCCCCCTCTCCCGGCTCCCCGTCGGATTCAGACGCCGATTTGCTCA